TGTTGAGTGATTGTGGTGGCCAATCTTGCTTGAGCTCCAGCGACCACAACACCGATGGAACGGTTTTCCGTATCAGGTGGCACCGGTGTCTAGAAAGTCAGATTACGCTTTGTAGGCAATTTTCTAGCTGAATATAGAAACCGTAAAGTGGGTGACCATGGACTATTGGAAGCACTCAAATCAGAATCCCCAAGGGGATTAATTTTCAACTCACTGGAATGTCAGCTGCAGATGAACTGCGATAAAGAAAATGGTTCCAATGATGAGTTGCAAAAAAGCATTTTGAAACGGACAAGCGAACCCAAGTCATTGATATCGACTCTACGAATCTCCTTCACCAACAGTCAAGCCATGCAGCACAGCTGATAATTTGGTTTGGTTGCGAGAAGTGTAGCCTTCACTCCTAATTGTTTGGGAAATGGGGGAAAATTGGGAAAAAGGCTCTCTAATCACGGAATGCATATTTGTAATCAGGGAGCATCACATAGTGTCTATTTTTAACTTTCGATCTCATCTTTCCATTATTAGGCTACTGTACATCACGCAAGGGTGCGTAGCGTTTCTCCTCCTGGGGTCAGGTCACCTAAAATTGAGACGCCGTTCATTCGCTCGGAGCAAGCTTAGGACTAAGCCTAGGCCCAATCATAGGCTTAGGCATAAGCCAATGTGTAAGCATAAGCCTTAACCTAAGTCTAAACCCAAACTTAACCTTAAGCTTCAATGATCGCGCAACTGTGGTGACCTGACCCCAGGAGGAGAAACGCACGTCTCCCATCACGCAAGCTTTCGGAACGCTATACTTTCCAGAGGAGCAACTCAGGACTGCTTTTTCGCTAATAGCGATGAGTCACGGCTCAAGCGATTGTCTAAGTGATTTGCTGCAGAAACATAGACGACAGCTGTGTACAAATATCAATACACAACAAGAAGTGGATACGTATTTTTGCCTGATGAATGAGCTATCACCATTGATCACGTTCGCACGGAAGTGCAGCGGCTGGCCTCACATCTCAATATAGTGGCAAAAATGCTATTTTTTAATGAAACAGCTGGTGTGAAGAGCTTGCCACCTTAATTGAAACATCTTCAATTCACGCTTTTAGACGGAACGGCCACAGGTGTGCCCAATTGTTAATCAAGCACAGTTGGGTGAAAATCTGTGAAAAAAAACATCGAAACGGTCCGAGGCATCATTTCTGGTTGTGATTTATAGAAACAGGTGGCTTAGGCCTTGCTACTATTAAGTGTGCGCGAAGAGTAAGGTCCAATCTGTGTGTATGGCCCCCGGCCCCCCACACTCCGCCCCCCCGCCCCGCGTGCACCCCCCTCACCGCGCCTCCATCCGACGCCCCCCCGGAGATAAAGTTTGTGTGACCCTTCACCTTTTTCAATGAGACCAGGTTCCCCACTTCTATCCCTCGTTTCCACTACTTGATTTGCGTCCAATGATTATGAAGAAGTGATCTCATCGAAACTCGTCCTCTACCGGTAAAGGGCCGCCCCCCCGCCCCCACCCGTGACGTGGTTGTGGGCGGAGGGGCCTCTTAGTGTTGGATGGGTTATGTGAGCTTTATCTCCAGAAAGAGAACGGGACAAAGGCTTGACTTTATAGCAGTAGGACTTTACGGAATGTGAGCCCCCAGGGTGTGGAGCCTTTGAAGCTATCTCTATGAGGAATGGTTAGAATTACCATCCCAGATCGCCTGATATTCTCACAAACATATCGTCTATCCTGATCAATAGAAGAATGAGCTACGCCGTGTGACCCCTTATGAATGGTGCACGATTAGCATTTCCATACTATAGGAATTTCATGCGATTTTCAACAAAAATCCGAATATGACTCGCGTCAGCCCGTTTCGGTGGCAGTGGTCAGGGCACAACCCCGTGAACGATCGAAAAGATTGCTCGGATACCACCAGTGGGGCACTACTGGGGAGCCCTTCTGTGGCATAGTTTTGCCGGTTCTTTTTCTATTCCTGGGTCGTTCAGTACTTCCGGTAGAATTTCGGTATTTTATAGGTCAGGCGACGCCGCTTTGCTAGACCGATTGCCACAAAAAAATCCTGGTGATCCGGACGGGAGGTGTTAAGGTGCAACGTCAGTTGGGCCATTACTTATCTTATGCTTGCAGATTCATAGAACCTGCGCAGAAGACAATGGCGTGGCTTACACCCAGCGCGTAGTGGCACGCTGCTGCGCCTTGATGATTCCAGCTCTGTAGGGCCCCCGATTGTCCTTACTTTCCCTGCTTGGCTACTTGCTGGCAAAGACTGTTAAGAAGCGCTTGCGCACATTATAACTGGCCTGGTTCGGTACTGTCTCGCTGCTTCCTTGGGCCTTTTTTTTAACCTGGGCATGTTTCATCGAAACGAAGGCCGACAAGGCGCAACCGGGCGAGCCCCTCCCCCCGGTGAGCAGTTGACAATAACTCTGGTCGACCTTTTTGGGATGCGAAACGCGTTCAGCTTCAACAGCTTGAAAAGCACTTGAACGGCTGTATAAAAGGCGCAATAATTCGAAGGAGTTCCGTTAATGTTCAAGTCACCGTTCCATTTTGTTGTATGCAGCACGAATCGGACCATGATGGTTCGAAAGGTTTTCAACTCTAGTGAGATCTGTTCAGCTCCTATCCGCCATAACCTCCAATATGTATTACGCGCATATTTAATTAATTGTATTATATGATGGTCGCGGAAGCATTAAGTGCCTGACTGCCTCAACCCTTGATGGAAGCTTCAAATAGAAATTCCTTACTGCTAATTCAATAGATGCAACTCAAACGTCAAACTAAAAAAAAGTTCTGAGTTACCCAACTCATGGCGTAGAAGGCATTACAACTCAGATGCTATGCACGCAAACATTCTAGTTTTTACGAAGAAATCGAGCTTTTATTATTGAGAGCGACCAAAGTTTTTTCAGGAATCCTTATTCGGACACCTACAACGTGCCACATTACGACAAGAACGCCAGCGATTACGGTCGGCCGCCTCCAGGCAGCAAAACGGAGGCCCGAGGCATTCGAGTAAGTCGTTAGCTCTGTTACTGCTTGGCGTTCCTGCTTATTCATCCGCCTTTTGCACTTTGATTGAATGATTGTGAGGAGAATGTGACCGAGACCAAAGGTAAGATTGGTTCAGAGGAAATGTGTCTATGGGCTCATTGATGAACTGCTGTGCTGTCACAGCCCTAGCCATCGTGTCGAAAAGGTAGGGGGACTGATGGGAAGATCTGGATATATAGTTTGTTTAGACTTTGTTCTGATCGCTTGCTGGTTTGCTGAACCAAAGTTTTCGGGGGGGTGGCAGTTGACTTAATCAATTCAACTGAGGTCAAAAAACCCACCTGGACTAGAGGACTTGAGAAGCCGCCGAGCCAAGGCAGCTAAAAATAACTATGCGGATCCCTTTGAAGCACGAAAATTTTAGGTGAGCGGAATAACATTCCTATTGGAAACCCTTCGGCCAAACTTGCACAGCATCGATCACATTCTTGATGTTTGTCCTCCAACACTGATGATCCTGATGGATCGACTCGGTCCGACCCCTTCCTGTCGACGGGCCACATACGACCCCCCCCCTTCACCTGTCGGGGGTTCCTCAACGCAAGTTTGACCCTCTTTCCACCTGGGGCGGTATTCAATCCTTCCCCCAGGGGTTGGGGGACGGAAATCCCTTTAAATTTATTTGTTTTTAACGATGTAGTTTCTTCATTTTCAATGCATGTTTACTTTGACCTACATACATACATTAAATGTAGGCCCTTTATCAGGACAATCCCAGTTGGGAAGACAGAGAAAATTTAAAGGGATTTTCGTCCCCCAACCCCTCGGGGAAGGATTGAATACCGCCCCTGGTGTGAAGACTTTTGCCCATGTAACCTCGATTTCGGAAGAAGAAGATCGAGTGCAGACCACACACCATAAGAGACGACGGCCAAGAAAAAAAGCCGCTTTTCTCTTGGCCGTCGTCTCTTATGATGTGTGGTCTGCACTCGATTTTCTTCTCGTCTTCCGAAGAAGGGTATACCCCCTACTCTCTTTTGGCCCCAATATTATACCCGGATAAGCCCATCTCTCTTGGCTGGCGGTTACGATGAATGTTGCAGTCACTGCTGAGACTGCTATTCAAAGACTGAAACGTAAGGTAGAATGCTAGTTCAGTAGAACGACGATTCAGACAACTATGTAGGAAGGTCACACTTTGAGAGTTGTAAATCGTTCGAGAGTTTGTAGGGCAGCCAAGCCCTGCATTCTTTTTCATGATAAGCTGAAAAAATTCACCCTGGATAAAAACTTCAGAGCATACCATCTACTGTTTCTCAACGATCATGCAAGCTTTTGAGCGTATGATTGATTCCTATTTCCGCGCCATGGAAACTTTACGACCAAAAGCCAGCTGTTCAAGCCCATTTGTTTGTGATCACTGAAACCTGCTCCGCGAAGTCTTGGTGTGACGCTATGAGCCGCTGCGCTACTTCCGCGCTGAGCCGAGGACGTCTTCAAATGAGATTTCAGCAACAAATGACAGCAAATGACTGAATGTGTATGACGAAAATGCAAACGTAATGAGGATGCGCGGCGCATTCTTGAGTTTGATGTGATCGAGTACCATTCCAGAACTACTTTACTTGCACTGCTCACTAGCAAAAATACCCTGGTCATACAATGATATCATGAAGCAGCAGCTCAGCAGTAATCAGTCAACAACGCCTACGGATAGTTCCTGCAGCCCTGCCCTCGACGGACTCCCACGGCGAGCACATTGCGTTATCTATTGACTCATGAAATCATCCGAAGCGAACGTGAACGAGAGAAGGGAACAAACAGCGAGGGCGAGTGATTGATGAAAAACATTGACTGGACGGATGTGGCTCAGAGAAAAGGATCAAGTGTTCGACATTGAACGATTCGTCTCGTGATGCGCTATATTCAGTTTCCAATCGCCACCATGCGGGCGCTTGAAAGCGTGGTTGATCTGCCAATTAAACAACTTCAGAGGATGGTTCAAGTTCACTTCAGGTTCAGTGATCGCAAAGTTATGTCCGATATTCTATGCAAGGACTTCTGGTAACAACGCCACTGTCCGTTTTGCCCACGTCTCGCTGCCCGGCAATGCCCTCATATGGGCATAATTAGACACGATTTTCAAGCATTTTGTGTCTCCCAAAGTTAGAGGAACTACAGTAAACTATTGATTTGATTGGGACAACGAGCACAAGCTCAGAGTTTTTCCCTCTCATGTAGGTTTGACATCTTCTTATTCAGATATTTATGTTGACTGAACGAACCTTTGCTTCTCGTTTTCAACGAATACATATTTTTCCAAAGCCTTCTTTTTTTAGTCGCAAACATGACGTCATGTCTTTCACAACCACAGTGACGTGTAACTGAAATAATTTTTTAGCAGGCTTTGTTACGAGAAAATCACCGAGCACATGTTTATAAAAGTTGAATGATACAAAATTGACCAATGATGTCATCATTCCTTATTTTTGTGTCGGCCAATAACGAGATATACTGCCGCTTACAAGGGGGGTCTTTCAGGGCAAGCCACGCTTTTTCAAAACGGTTTCTGCATATTGTAGGGACGCATGTAGGGAACAGAACCATGTTTCATTTTCGCTGAACGGTTTAGCAGTACCAAAAAAGAAGCATAAGGTACTGTTAATGGTTCGATCCCCCTTGGCGACTAAATTTTGCATTTGGGTTGGCGCCTATGGTTTGGTGCCAAATCGCGCTAAATATCAAAATCAGATGTCAAATCCATCGTCAGGACCATTTTGAAGGCAACAAGGGGCCGCCAACCTTGATTGCAAACTTTAGTCGCCGTAGGGGAATGCGAACCATTGACCGGTATCATTTACCACTTTCTGGTGCTACTAAAATCGTTCTTTCGTTCAAGAAACATGGTTTTGTGGTCTTTACATGCGTCTCTACAATATGCAAGAAACGGTTTCCAAAAGCGCGCGCCTTGCTCTGAAAAACCCACCTTGTAAGAGATATCTAACATGGCTCTTCTTTTCCAAGGTGAGCCTCCTGTTGGGGGGTGTCATCCGGTTGGTGTCGTTTGCACTATCTACAATACCGCTACTAATAATTTTTGTTCAATCGACGAATTGCGACGGATTCGATCCGTCGCAACCGTCGCCTCGCCATAATTCCTGCAAAAATGGCTTACGCGGCCTGAAAATTATACCAATTGATAGCTCTGCTCACGACCAATTCAATGGTGCATGAAAATCCCTATTTACTTCACTTTTTCCACTTCATTTTAGAGGAATTCATCAAATTACCTGAGGCCAGCTCATTAGCGAGCGTCGCTCGCTATAATTATAACCAGCGGGGAATAGATAAGAATAAAAGCAATCAGCAATTGATTGAACTTTTATTCTACTCCGAAGTGAAATGAAAAGGACACTACTGTATTCTCCGGACGATTCTCGACATTTTGATACCAACTTCATCTGCAGTGGGTCAATTTCGCTGAACGCCACTTTTACACGGAATAGGGTTTTTGGACTAAAATAAACAGAAAACATAAAAATCGTAAACAGACGATCGACCCAATCTATGCAGCGTTTTATGCAAGCGTGGCTACCCTGGAACATTCCCTACGTGGTAAAAGTTGTACTGCTACATTACTCAGACTTTTTCTGAGCAGTAACTTCAACTCTGTTTACTATTTCATTGCAGCAGTTGACACTATATTCAAGACCGTTTAATTCAGGCCGGTGTGCATGTTTGCCGAGAGATTCTCTTTCTCTGCGAGATCATAAACGAGAATGCCGAAGGCGAAGAACCACACAAGTGGATAAAATTTGGAAAACTCTTCTATGTATATGCATTTTATTCAGACAAGGTAAGCCAACCCATCAGTTTGCAGTATTGGTGCCAAAACCTTCTTAAAACCATGAAAACCCCCGTCTACCTCAGCCCCTTCGAAAATCTCGTTGGTTTCCACCGGGTTCTTCTTACGATTAGATGTTTTAAGCCACTCCATGGCTGACTTCAAAATTTAGTGAGTCATCTGTTCGTTTATAATAATAAATGGACAACTGAATAAAATGTGAATAAAATTTCAAATTAACTTCTTGACTGGTCACAACCGATAGTAAATTTGAGACTATTCTGGTCGTGAAGCATAGCTCATGAGCCCTCTCCTGGTCCATAATAAGAATGTTAAGAAATCTAAGTGTTCTGATGATCAGCTGATTTCATTTCAGCTAGTTGGTATGTTGATACGAGCCAGGAAATATGGTCTGGTGGACTTTGAGGGTGAGATGCTCTATCAGAAGCAAGATGACGAGAAGATTGTTACGATGATGATGCCAATCGCCGAGATTCGCACTCGAATGCAAGCGTCCGGTGATCCAAAAAATTGTGTTGCTTTAGTGGGAAAGTAAATATTTGCACATAATCTTGAAAATGACGATTGGTACCACGTCTCTTTTATTTCCCTTACATTGAAATTCTGTTATTAAAGGCAAGCTCCGGGATAAAATGAGGGAACTACCTGTTCAAATATGATTCAAATATGATGTATTGTTGCGTGAACTGTGACGATAGTTGAACCTGCAAACTAAGAAGACATTTTGTCTCCACATTCCGATGGATTTAATCACACTTTGCTCAATTCAAACCGAATGGTCCCAAACTTAGTATTAAAGAGCGCATTTCATTCTATAAGAAAATCTTCATAGTGGCCACCTACGTGGACGGCATCAGAAAAATTTGCCCCGGAAACATGGTGCACTGGTCGAGCTCAATGGGGTCTTCGAAGGATCGTGTACCATAACGACCTTTACTGGAAAGCTAGTTTCGAGGGGATTTGCATAGTGGGAGCTAATGCCTCTAGAAAACTATCCAACATTGAATCGATTCACGAAATTGCGTAAGAGCTTCAGGCTGAAGCAGTTACGGTAGGCCTCCTTGAGCTGACGACGGTGACAGATGACGTCATATTCTGAAGACGGTGAGGGCAGTGAAGGAGGGCCTGCGTCTACTTATAGAGGGACATTTAGGGAATATTTTGCTGAGGAACTTCCGTCAACGACGGCAATCTCTGCGAAGAAAAAAGGGCCGAAGTGCGACATGGGCAAAATGTCTTTTTTGCCCTGTATCGTATTATTATGCTCTACCTATACGAATCCCTTTCGAATACCGATGAAGGGTCCTCTGCTATTGAAAGGTACAGTACTCGGACGAAATAGCGTTAGAATACAGGGAATACATGCGACCATGTATGAGGGGTCTCGTAAAAGAGTTATTCTGAGTGAAGAAAGTTGTGGC